AATATCGCAGATTTGCCCCGGAACGTAATGTCTAATACTACCCCGGCAGAGGTTACTTTTTGTAAGGAATCACTATGTTAAAGAATGCATTTTGTTTACTTGTCAGTACATTAAAATAATGTTTTCAATCTGGCGACAGATTCAAATATGAAACCATATGTGGGACACCATCGAAAGGCCTGCTAAACGTAATTTTCTTTTTGGGGAAAAAAACTCTAATGAAAGGTTCACAGACACATCGGAAACGATAGAAATCGTCCCCCGTTTTAGCTCCTTTTACACAAATTGGTAAGTACACGAAAGTTATAAATTTTCAATTCAACCGATAGGGGCCATTTTGTGACATAAAACTGACACTTGACCATAGTACCATAAAATATAGTACTAACGTAGAATTAAATCTCCCTAATATTGCCACTAAACCGCGAAACAGCGCCACGTATCGTTTTGGAAGCTTACTAATACTTAGCTCCTAATGAGTAGGCAACACTTTATACTTTGTGAATTGATTACAGTGCCATCTATCGTATGCAAACGACTTCTCACTTATATCCTCTATATATTATTTAAAAATTTTTTAAAGTAAACCCTTATACAAATAGGAATAGTCAAGTGTCAATACTTTTGAGAACAGATTATTTAATTAAACAGAAAATGTAGCGAAAACTAATATTCAGTACTTTTCTAATTCATTTCTGCTTTGATAACGAAACTAGAGAAATGTAATAGTGTTATTGTTATTGCGTTATCGCTCCTCTTGCCTGATTGGTCGGCGTGGCGGAGGGTGTTTCCGTACGCACTTCGGGTCGTAACGCATAGGGCGTAGCCGCGTCACGCCGCAAAAGCCGTTGGGACGCCTGCTGAGACCTCTCAGTCGCCTCCTTCAAGACCTGGAGGGAGTTAGTAGAAACGGGTTTGTCGAGTTGTCCTGACCACCCCGTAGCTGCTCTTTCCACCGAGAATGCGGCGATCGAACCAACGTACGGCGGCGTCCGTTCTACCTCCTGATCCGAAGAATCTGAAGAAGGGCTGGGTGAAGACGACGTACGAACTAATTTATTCTCCGTTCAAGACATGGTGTGATAGTTGAAAAGTTCCGGGTTTCAACTGACGCTTTAATAGACTTATGTGTCTATGTATAGCACTGAATTTACTAGAGCTCGAAAACTCTGTATATCACTGAATTTAAGGATAAGCACTAGGTCTTTCCAATTTGAAAATAGAATTTGAAGGCAATGCAAAGCCTTAAATGTTTATATTGAGGAGTTCTAGGACTCTTATAGTTCTTAACACTAATTGTTTATATGAATATTGCTGAACCTTGACCCAAAGGTTAGCTATGGCACGGCCTCTTAAGAGAGTACTCGTGTATGTATTTATATTTATATGTATATGTATGGCTATTGGGGACGAAGGTATTGACACCGTCTCGCGTCGCACCAATGCTTAATAATCTTTGTTTGGCGAGGAAAGAGAAACTCGAAGGAATAAAATGTATATATGAGTATGGATTTATAAATTTATCGATTTGCTAGTACTACATGTGCGTGGAGATACAGCGGAGTAAGAACGGTTTGTTACAATACTACATGGATAGAAGCTTCGCAGCTTTGCGAGTTCAAAATGCTTGACGTGCGCACACACGTCCAGTCCCACCTGTAAGACTGCAAATGCCCAGAGTCGACGTTCAGTCAAGTTTGGATTTGACGACCAATCTCCCTTTCTTTTGGTGGAGGAACTGGCATGGCTCCGCAGAAAGGGTGGCAAAAATTTTGTCCTCGTCGGCTCTGGGTCGCGCTTAGTGGTGGCTCGGGGTGTGCATGCTTGGGATCTAAAAAATAGGTTTTGTCATTAGTGGTCGCCTGTTAGGCGTGTCGACGGGCAGCTTCGGGCTTCTTGGTCATCTCTGGAGCGGCTGCGGGACGGCAATTCGGAAGGTCGGCGATTTTATGGCTTTGTCGGCCCCTGGCGGCGGATCCAGTGGAAATTCTGCCCCTTTGGAAGCTGATTCTGTCGAATTGAGTGGAGGCGGTTCGAATGAGCCCGCCCATAAGGTCGAGGGTCGCCGGGAACCATTAGCGAGTGGTGGCGTCTCGAAAATATGGAAAGCATGTGAAATTTTCACTTATCGGCTCTGGCGGCCGATCCATTGGAAAATGTCCCTTTTCGACTTGGTGTCTATCGAATTGGGTTGCGGCGGTCCTAACGAGCCTATCCAGAACGTCGTAGGTCGCCGGGAATGATTCATTGCTGACAGCGGCTTGGAAAGTGGAAAGATGCGTAAAATCCAACTTTTTATCTTGCGCGTGCCAGAATGCAAGGTAGAGCATAGGGAGCTCCTAATTTAGGTCTGACATGACTTATCTCGTGCTTGGTTGTCGCAGAGACGTGTTTTGTCGTAGTTTCCAGCCAGATTGGAAAGATGAGTGAATTTCGAAATGCTCGAAAAGCTTGTATGTAGTTTGTTTATTTCTACAAACACCAAATTCTTCTCATAAAGCTAATATTTTTTATTATCTATTTAGTTTAATTACAGTTCGGAATGACATATTTTCATTATTTATACAGGGTGTCCGGAAATGATGAGCAAAAAATTCAGGGGAGTTACAGGGTGTTAAAGTTAAATTTTATTTGCAGTTTTTTTGCAATACCTTTTGCCACACTCGCACATATGGGGTTTTTTCGGGATGAGGATTATAAATTTGCCCACCGTTTTTTCGCATTTTGTAGAGGGCGCCACATACGAGCCTTTATTTTGATTTGAACCGTTCCAACTTTTTTGTGCTACACTTTATGCGACTTTTGACTGAATATTTTTGTTCTCCTAACCTTTTGACACAAAAAATGTATACTTTATTTGTTTCGATAAATCTAACCGTTTTCGAGAAAAACGCTAAAATAACATTACTTGCATGTGATGAATACGAAATCATTTTAATTTATTTTCTACATTAAACATAGCATGCTTCGGAAACAAGCGTTTAGTTGCCTTGGAAACAAGTTTGTGGAGAATTAGTTTTGACAGATAGTAATTTTTGTGAAAATTTGTTGTTACGCTGATGGTGGTTAACGATAAATAATAAAAAAATAACGTCCTCAACAAATAAAGAATGGTTTACTAACAAAATCATAAGGTTAAAATACATAAGTTACTAGAACAATACAAATACAAATTAAACATTCAAATCAAAGGTTCAAAGTGACGTCCTTCCTCTTCAATGCATAAATTAATTATTCTTAAAAAAATTCCGACGAACTCTATGGAATATTTCTTCCTTTTGCTTAATTACCTCACAATTAGCAACAATTCTTTCTCTCAGTTCATCGACGCTATTCACAGGTGTCCTGTATACAAGCGTCTTCAGATAGCCCCAAAAAAAGAAATCGATTGGGTTTAAGTCAGGGAATCTAGGGGCCCACTGTACAAAACCATCGCGTCCTATCCACCTTTCAGGAAAAGTTTCATTTAAGAATTCTCTGGCCGCTAAACTAAAATGCGGTGGCGCGCCATCTTGAAGCAGCTACATTGCATTTCTTAATCCGAGTGGTACATCTTTCAATAGAATTGGTAAGTGATTTCATAAAAAATCGAAGTAAACTTTTCCATTGAGTCTTTGTGGAAAGAAATGTGGCCCAATTAAGTAGTCCCCTACAATACCGTCCCACACGTTGACGGAAAACTTATTTTGATAACCACGCTGTATTGATAAATTAGAATTCTCATCAGACCAAAAATGCTCATTGTGGAGGTTTATTAAGCCATCATGGCCAAATCCAGCTTCGTCCGTGAAAAGGATATTACGAACAAAATTTTGATCACCATTATGAAGTATTCTAATTGTATTGCAGAAATTCACACGAGCAGCAGGATCTACGGAAGATAAGGCTTGCACCTTTTGGTAGTGGTACGGATGAAGGTTTTGTTCGCGTATTGTTTCATGTTTCTTTGGAATGCCCTCCTGAATAGCAATTTTTCTTATACTTACATTGGGATTATTCTCTATCGAATTCAAAATATGAGCTTCTGCTTCTGCTGTTCTAGTATTCCGTTGTCGACCTACATAAAAAATTCTAGTTTTGAACGATCCAAATTCTCCCAGTCTTCGATGAATAGTACTGAACATTCGCAATTGGGGTAGATTTCTATTTGGAAATGCTTCGCGATACAAACGTCGTGCTGCAAGAGCATTCCCAGCAGCTAAACCGTATTAATAATGTTTGTCTCGCAACTCCACGTTAGAGTAATTGTTGTTAATTTTTATTATTATTTTTATGATAACAATTACTACAGAATTACTATCTGTCAAAACCAATTCTCCACAAACTTGTTTCCAAGGCAACTAAGCGCTTGTTTCCAAAGCCTGCTATGTTTAATGTAGAAAATAAATTAAAATGATTTCGTATTCATCACATGCAAGTAATGTTATTTTAGCGTTTTTCTCGAAAACGGTTAGATTTATCGAAACAAATAAAGGTTCCCTTTTTTATGTCAAAAGGTTAGGAGATCAAAAATATTCAGTCAAAAGTCGCATAAAGTGTAGCACAAAAAAGTTGGAACCATTCAAATCAAAATAATGGCTCGTATGTGGCGTCCTCTACAAAATGCGAAAAAACGGTGGGCAAATTTATGATCCTCATCCCGAAAACCCCCCATATACGAAATTTCGTCAAAATATTATGAGTGTGGCAAAAGGTATTGCAAAAAAACTGCAAATAAAATTTAACTTTAACACCCTGTAACTCCATTAATAATCAGTTTTGGAAAAAATGTTATAGAAAGAGGTAGGATTTATTTTCGGTCTAGAATTATCCCCTGAATTTTTTGCTCATCATTTCCGGACACCCTGTATAATTCAAAGTAATTAATTCATTTATTTTAAAATTTGTAACACATCACAAAAATGACATGATTGATTTATAATTCAAACTGCTGCTTTTTTATCTCCCCTCTCTAAACGCTACATATGGAACACTAGCGCTCTCTTATTTTGGTAAGATTTTTGTTTACATGGAGTTCGGGCTCCTTGTGTAGTCTCCATGGTCATCATTTTGAACATTTATTGGGAACGTGTGAACTTGAATGTCACACAAAAAGCCACCGTCCGGGTAACGATGAAGAAAAGTGTAAATCAGGGGTCTTGAAAAGAAAACTACTTTTTGCAATAGGTACTCTTATTTATTTACAAAAATTCACCACTGACAAATCGGTGACGGTCGGTACTAATATTCGGAAAATGTCGAAAAATTAATATTTTCCCGATTCGGCTTTTAACTCAGGTTGACGGCTATTCAGTAAAAGCGGGCGAGAGAGGAACTTCGGAGTTTTAGGAAAAGAGTTCCAAGACCAGGCGGGAAATTGCCGACACTCTATTCCTGGACGGAAACAGTCACGGAAGGTCTAGGAATAGGCGGGAATTTGCCGACGCTCTGTTTCCAGACGGGGGGATAAGGATAGCTCTGAAAACAGGCGGGAAATTGCCGACGTTCTGTTCCCAGACAGAAAATAAGGAGCAAGGAAACTTGGTAGGAAAGGGTAGATATAAAGAGAGGGAAGAGGGAATTGTCGATCAACACTACTCTCTTCATGTGTGGAGCTCGGCTTTTATAGCCGATTAGTGACGTAGACAAACTATTTATAGGATATTAGTACTCAGGTCTCCAATAAATACAAAATTCAATGCATACGTTATTAACATAGAAAAAAACAATCTTTCGTCGGATATTTAGCGGCTGCAATTTAATACAAACGGTGTATCAGCGTATATTGTTTTAAGACATCATTTCTGTAGAGAAGTACCTATTATTCGTTTTAATTGTTTCTATAATTTTTTTTTAATGGAGCATTTTACTAAAAATATGTAAGGATGCCTTTTTGTAGGAAAATGAAAGCTAAATCTAAGAAACATATTATATCCAATATTAGTCACTGATGATGCAACATTTTTTTAAAGTTCTCCCTTGTGGTGATTGCACATCACTGACTTTTGGTATTTATGCTTCCTCACAGGAGAGTAACCACTGATTGACATTTATTACGCCAAATTTCAAAATAATCTGTTAAATCGTTCTCGAAAAATTAAGAAAATTCTATTTTTTAATGAACTTCAACACCCTGTATCTTAGTAAGGAGGCATTTTGGAACAAAGGTTCATTTAACCATTTATTTTGATTTTGCGAGACGTTTTGGTTACATTTTTTACACCTAATTATGACTCACGCTGTATACGACATTCCAGTTAGAAATAAATATGCTGTCAGAGGAATTATTTTGACATAAAGTGTTTAGTTACATCTCTTTTTTTTTAGAACTGTGACATAATACTAAATTAAAGAAGTTTATAGAATTCTAAGTCAAAATCAATTTATAGCTTGTATACCTGGGAATTCCATTCATCAATAGACAGCAAGAGACTCAATTAAGGGAAATACTTAGAAATGAAACAGTTACTGAAAATCAGGCTTGTTGCAGAGTTGAATTAGATGTAGTATATAAGAAGTTATATGACGTGATTAAAATTTGGTATCAAGAAGCTAATATAGATGATCATCTTTCCCTTCCAGAAATATATAACAAATGTAAATATAACTATGAGATGTTATATTTCATTCAAAAATATATTAGAAGGTGCTTCAAGTATCTGTGGACGTCTGTAGAAAATAATGAATTTATCGTAAAACTTGTATCAGAACATGAATATAAAATATTAGAAAAAACTATTAATTTAGAGGAAGAATTAATAAATAACCTTTTGGGTTTTACAAGAATATTTAGGCTTATAACTTCTATTAAGAAGCCTCTTATTGGTCACAACTTGCTCCAGGATATACTTTTACTGATAAGTAGTTTTGAAACTCCACTACCCCGTAAATATTCTGAATTTAAAAAATTAGCAACACTGCTATTTCCCTCAGTATTTGATACAAAATCAATTTCTTATCAGCTGAAAAATATAATTCCCGAGGAGAAATGTTGGGCTGATTCTAGTCTGGAAACATTGTTTGAATACTTCAAAAATGGAACAGGAAGACATTTAGCCTTAAATGCTCCAGCTATAATAATAACACAAGACAATAATTATGGAAAATTTCATGAAGCTGGCTGGGATTCTTTTTGTGCTGGATATATTTTTATACGTTTGGCATATTTGAATATTTATCATAAGTTTCCAAAGTCCAAGACATTTATGAGCAATGAACTTATTGGTGGCTTATCAGATTTAAAGAATCGAGTTAATATTATTAGAGGAGCAGTTTCATATGTTGTAAGTATTTTCATAAATTTTTGTTTCTGTTAAGTACTGTTAATATATCCATCTCATGTATGCATTCACTGTTACATTACAAATAATGCAGGGAAAACGATTCTGGTAGTATAAAACAACAATGTATAGGCAGTAGGTACTTAAGAGAACATATGGCTATATTGGCAGTGCCTTTGCTCACACTTAAGGCAACACCACCACCATCAAATAAATGGTTGAGTAATAAATAGTTTTTTAAACTACACTTTAAGTCTTGCTAACCCGGGCTACCAGGCATTAGCCTAAGTTATATCAATGCACTATCATGACAATGGAAAATAATTTAGTAGAATCATATTTAATATCAATGTATATGAAAAAAAACATGATTTATTAAATATTAACTAATGTTGGTAAACAGAACTAATTTATGTTTTAAAATAATTACTATCAAAGCATTCGCCAACTTAAATTTTCGTTCGTGCCTGCGGCACTAGACTCGGACCGAGCTTGCCCGTGGGTTGGTAAATGATTTTCCAAAAAATGAAAAGTCCGAGCCGCCCGCAATTCGAACCCCAAATCTTCGGCTTCGCAGTAGCGACTTTACGAAATGAGCTACGGCGACCTATCGGTGTATGGAGCCTGTACGCGCTATTTGAAACATTGGGTCTCGGCAGATATAAACAGAAAATTTAAAATGTTCAAATCAAGTTTGTTCGCCAAAATATCGTCTCTAAAAGACAAGAATCTGTGCCTAACGGCAAATTGATGATTCGCCGTGTCCCGATCGGCTGGGAAAACACTTCAAAAGACGAAATTTAATTTGACGTCTTCACTGACGTTTATCTCCATCTCAGTCTAATATCGGATGTACCTCGGGTATCTCTCGCACCGAAAAAAAGCGGTCGATTTTTGGCGACTCGTTTTAAAGTATAAATTTCACTTAGAAGACGCGAAGAGATCGCCTTCAGAATACGATGTTTGATTAAAGTAAGGACCGGTGGCGGTTCACAACTTCGCGGCTCTCGAGGAAAGCCTTTGATATGTCAAGTCGCATCTTTTCGCGGCCCAGTGTGGGAGCGACTGTTACCTATAGCGTTTAATATATATTAACTAGAAAGTTAAGCAAGTCCGCTGACGCTCGTGCCTGCGGCACTCGAGCAGCGTTGCGCAGTGCTCTCCTCGCCGGTGAATAATTATAACATTTTTTGAGACACCCTGTACTTTAGTTTTTAAACACCCATTATATAAAAGTTTGATAATAACGTTTGCCAAAGTCCGCTCCGCCCGTGAATCGAAACGCGGACTCGGATTCGCAGTCACTAACTTACAAAATACACCATCATCTACATCACCATCATAAACATCATCATCATCAATTTGGTTAGTGAACATAACATTTTTCATCTAAAGACATAAGGCAGAAAAGGTAAAAAGATTAAGAGATGTTTCGCTCTGTCCGTAATTTGAAGTGGATCATTTTGTAGAACATCCAGTATAAACTTGCAAAAAGGTATCTGGTTAGAAAATTCATCGTCATTTTCATCGTCATCATCATAGCCATTTTCAGTGTCATCTTCAGTAGTGTATATATGGGAGCGCAATAAAGTTTGTTGTGTGCAGTTCAGTGTTCAGATCATCGGCGTCAATGACCTGCATATCTGGCATGACATCATTTCTAACAATAGAACATTACATCATATCTATTAATATAATGCACACCTAAAAATACCAGAATGATTGATGGCGCCGCTACTTACAAATATTTTATGTGCCGCTCCTATTATTTTCACTCTTCGTAGTTAGCAACACTGACAGTGATTTACTTGATTCAGTGGCGGGTTAAATGCAGTGGCAATAGGGTCACAGACTCATTTTAATCACAAAAATACAACACAAAAAGCAGAATGTTGGCATTAATTCATTTGAGGGGTTTAGTAATTCGTTAAAGGAATGGATTAAATGAAAATGATTTAGATATTATTATTATTAACCTCAAAACTAACGTAAGAATCGAATTTATCTATCTTGTTTTTTTTATGCGAACTTCAAAGTAAAATTTTTAAATGAATTTACTTGTACTTTCTTCATTTAGAAATATGAATAAAATATCGATTTAAAATTTCTTAAATTCTAACCTAAAAAGAACGTGTTGTTACTTAAATGAAAATTTAAAATAATTGCTTTATTAGTTTGAAGTTAAAAAAAGTGAATTGTCGTATTCCACCCTTCAAGCGAGCTTCAGGATTTCAGAACCCTCAGTATATTCCTAGACATCGTTTTGTACCTACGGATATGCCTGAGACCGTTATATTGGAAAGTCAAATTCACCTACCTTTCCATATAATCCGAAAAGCCGCCACGGTTCCAGATTTAATCGCCGTCGGCCGGGCAAATCAAAAAAGTCTCCACGATACATTTTCCATCATCGAACTCGATACCGTCCGAGAGCGATTTCCGCGACTCCGCATCCCAACGCGGACGTCGCCCTATGACTAATTTCACCGATGTTTCCAATGTCACCCACATCGCGGCCGATCTCGTCTGGGTCTGCCATCCCTGCGCTCAGTATTCACTGCAGCGACCCTAGCAACCTGCAGACAAACCCCGGCACGCTTCAGGGCGATATTTGGAAACAGCCATCTACTTTTTTACTCATCTTTCCAATTGGTCCAAGGATGCTATTGTCAATAGCTCCAAAACTTATTGAGCGATCGGTGTTTAATGCAGCACTCCTCAAGTCGCTGCCATCATTTCCCTAGAATTTCGTCCGAATCGGATGAGCAATAACGCCGTTATACGGGTAAACGTGGATTTTACGTTTTCCACGTGTTTAGCCGTTCCGCTCATTCGATCTCGGCCGAACCTCAAAACCACACTAGAGTATCCCTATGTGGTTATCATGTTCAAATTCGAGCCGAATCGTGCGACTGCTAACGGCTATCTAAGCCATAATAGGATTCCACGTTTTCCTAACTGCCGCTGGAAGTGTCCGCGCGATCTCGGCCGAACCCTCCAAACACGGTAGTACTTCGTGCCGTGCATCACCAATCCACTTCTGAACCAGATCCATCCAGTACAAAGACCTCCATAATCCCTTTTACGAAGACGGGAAAAATTTCACCACACTTTCCAATTTTCCCGTCTGGGCCGAAAGGACCGTCTTCCGAAGGTCCCACAGCTCTGTCGGTTGGATGCGATGATCGGTAGCCTAAGCCGAGACCGAGGGTAGAGTTTTTTCAAAATGGGAAAAAACTCGGAAATCCCCAATCAACTATCCGTAGAGGCCAGAGGGGAACGAGATCCGACACCTTCCACGGTTTGTTGTACAAAATCCTGACACCAAACTCAAGAACTTTTGGAGCTCACAGCTTACAGGCTCGCTTCTCGAGATCCCGTCAAGGCTGCCTACCTTCGACGAAGTACCTTACGAGGTAAGTATATATATATATATATATATATATATATATATATATATATATATATATATATATATATATATATATATATATATATATATATATATATATATATATATATATATATATATATATATATATATATATATATATATATATATATATATATATATATATATATATATATATATATATATATATATATATATATATATATATATATATATATATATATATATATATATATATATATATATATATATATATATATATATATATATATATATATATATATATATATATATATATATATATATATATATATATATATATATATATATATATATATATATATATATATATATATATATATATATATATATATATATATATATATATATATATATATATATATATATATATATATATATATATATATATATATATATATATATATATATATATATATATATATATATATATATATATATATATATATATATATATATATATATATATATATATATATATATATATATATATATATATATATATATATATATATATATATATATATATATATATATATATATATATATATATATATATATATATATATATATATATATATATATATATATATATATATATATATATATATATATATATATATATATATATATATATATATATATATATATATATATATATATATATATATATATATATATATATATATATATATATATATATATATATATATATATATATATATATATATATATATATATATATATATATATATATATATATATATATATATATATATATATATATATATATATATATATATATATATATATATATATATATATATATATATATATATATATATATATATATATATATATATATATATATATATATATATATATATATATATATATATATATATATATATATATATATATATATATATATATATATATATATATATATATATATATATATATATATATATATATATATATATATATATATATATATATATATATATATATATATATATATATATATATATATATATATATATATATATATATATATATATATATATATATATATATATATATATATATATATATATATATATATATATATATATATATATATATATATATATATATATATATATATATATATATATATATATATATATATATATATATATATATATATATATATATATATATATATATATATATATATATATATATATATATATATATATATATATATATATATATATATATATATATATATATATATATATATATATATATATATATATATATATATATATATATATATATATATATATATATATATATATATATATATATATATATATATATATATATATATATATATATATATATATATATATATATATATATATATATATATATATATATATATATATATATATATATATATATATATATATATATATATATATATATATATATATATATATATATATATATATATATATATATATATATATATATATATATATATATATATATATATATATATATA